CTTCCTTCCTTCCTTCCTTCCTTTTCTTCCTTCCTTCCTTCCTTTTCTTCCTTCCTTCCTTCCTTCCTTCCTTCCTTCCTTCCTTCCTTTCTTTCTTTCTTTCTTTCTTTCTTTCTTTCTTTCTTTCTTTCTTTCTTTCTTTTTCTTTTCTTCTTTCTTCTTTCCTTCCTCTCCCCCTTCCTCCCTTCCTTCCTTTCCTTTTTCTTTCTCTTTCTTTTTCTTTCTTTCTTTCTTTCTTTCTTTCTTTCTTTCTTTCTTTTTCTTTCTTTTTCTTTTTCTCTCTTCTTTTTTCTCTTTTTTTCTTCTTTCTTTCCTTCTTTCTTTCACTTTCCTTTTTTTCTTTCTTCTTGTCTGGTCTTTCTACTATGCATGTATGTATGCCAAGTGGGTTGGCTGACACTGACTGGGTCCTGGACATTCTCAGGAAGACAGTCCACTAGAAGTGTGTGCAGGCAATACAGCAAGCATCATGGTCAGGGAAAGTTGATAAAGATACCCAGCTCCTCGACAGATCCAGGCACTCAGCTGACTCTTGCATTTCCCATCTCCACTGCTCCTTCAGAAGGAAGTCTTCCAATGTTGTACTTTCCTCAAAACAAAGCCATTTAGAAAATAGGATGGGGGGGAATAGGTTTCCCAGAAGCTACTGAGAAAGCATAAAGGATTTGTATTTTTCATAACCAGAAAGATCTGATTGCTCATCTTTGATAACCTGTAAATTCAATTTCTCTGACGAACCAATTAAAGAACTTCTATAAACTCCAGAATTCTGAAAGATGTCACCTGAACACATCTAGGCCAGGCTCAGCAGACAGGGAGAACCTGGAAATCTGGTCAGGAGCCTAGAAGTAAAAGGCACTTCATGTAGGTTAGAGCGAGGCAGAGAGAGAAAAAGAAATACCAGTGGCTGCTGTTCTAGAAAACACCAAATAGTAGCTCAAAGCTTCAGGAATCAGCATGATGCCTGACCTAGTAGTGGGCAGTAAGTAGCTCTGGGGTGCTCAGTCTTTCACAGGCTTCGACACTAACTTTGTATCTTCAAGTGGTATTCTCTAACTTCTCTTCCCTGACACAGAGAAGGCGGGATTCTCTAACTTCCCTTCCCTGACACAGAGAAGGTGGCCTCAAAATAGTTATTGACTCACTCTTTCTTTGCAGTTCACTTTTAGCTCAATGCCCACTGAATTCTGTAGTAGAAAGAGTAAAGCCATTGGACTTGCCAATGACTATTTTCTAGTGTGTGACCTCAGGTAAGTTTCTCAACCTCTTTCAGTTTCAATATCTTTACCAATAAAATGAAATCAATAAGGTCCTCCTGAGAGTTAAATCAAATGTAAGTAAAGTGCCTAACCAAAGGACAGACTCAAAATATGCTGGCTTCTTTCTTTTTTCTTCCTTTCTTCCTCTCCCCCTCCCTCTTTTCCTCATTCCCTCTCTCTTTCCTTTTTTCTTTCTTTCTCTTTTCTCTCTTTCTTCTTTTTCTTTATTCTTCTTTCTCTTTTTTCCTTCTTTGTTTCCTTCTTTCTTTCACTTTCTTTTTTTCTTTCTTTTTCTTCTGGTCTTTCTACTATGCATGTGTGTGTACCTGGGAGTAATTTTTAACTATTGAAGAAGCATTTGCAAAACGATTATCATACTTCATCAAGGAGCAGTAACCTTGTTTCCATGTGTCAAAGTGGAACAAGGCTCAGCAGAGCCAAGGCTATCACACACACATTTTTTTTTTATTTGTGCAAATAATTGTGCAGGCAGTTAACTAAGAGAAAGAACTCTAAAATTATACTGTGTGTGGAGAGGATTTGACCATCACTCTAGTCCAACTGTGGAAGTTTTGGAAAGGCCTGTGAAGCTTGTCCTAGATGGCTCTTATCAAAGTGGTCCTTGTCCAAATCATGCCATTGTGTTTACTTTCCCAGCAGAGACCCTGATTGCCCAACGTACCCAGTGGGAGACCAGGTTGCAAACTGTCCTGTTTGAAAACACACAGAGGCAACTTCTTGATGCATTCTTACAACTCCTGAAAGCGGGTGCCCTGTTCAACTCCCCCACCCCCTCCAGAGTAGGGAGTCACTGAATGAAGGTCAGTCATTACCATGACACGGTGTACTCTCCCTTAACTTTTAGAATCACTCAGTAATATAGAGACTCATGATTTCTCATGCTGTGTGTTGCTAAATCTCCATCTTGTGGACATACCTGACTCCAGGGTTCCACCTGCCACTCCTGACAGGGCTCTGGGTTACAACTCATGCTCAGTGGGGGCGGAATGCCAGCCAGGAACTGGCAGTGAAATGGCCTCAGGCTTCGGTGGTCCCGGCTGTCCATGCACTGAATCTCTCTGATCTTGAAGCCCCCGCTGCAGTTTCTGGAGCACTGTATGGAGAGCAAAGGTGTTAGTTGAGTCCTTGGCACCGGGCCTTCATTCCCTTTAACTATGGGGGTTCCACGCTTCGAGTCATGAAGAGTGGTTCAGTCTAGTTCAAATGAATCCTGCTTTCTCTCACATACCACAGGGAGGGAGCCACACAGCAGTTTCTCTGGATTAGGCTCCCAGTGTCAGAAAATATGTGTGGGGACCAGCAGTTAGCATAATGGCTATGTCACTGGACTTTCATGTAGTCGACCACAGTTCACGTCCCAGACCTGGTGGCTTAAAACTCACACCAGGCGCGTGTGCGTGCATGCCCAAGATCCCGAGAGGAGAATGGAGGAGAAGGGATTGCGGCGTGGCCATCCCCCCTGGGGGGTGATTTCTCGCTTTCTGTCTCTCTGTCTCTCTCCGTCTGCGCCCTATAGCAAAAAAAGCCTCTTAAAAAAAGAAAGAAAATATATGTGGAAGTGTGAGAGTTTTGATGTCTGACGGAAGTGGGCAAGAATTCTAGTTCTGTCACTCACTATCGTGAGCCCTTTTGGGGCAAGTCATAGAAACGCTCTAAGCCTCAGGAGTCACATCTAAAAACTGGGATAACCTATCTGCCATGCTGGTGTGAGGATTATAGATCGTGGGGCAGGAGAACCTGCTGGCCTTTTCTGTCTCCATGAGTACGATTCCCTCTGGTGTCTGTATTCACTGAAGGCAAAGTGCCCTGACTACTGCCTCCTGGGATGGGACATCTCAGGTCCCCACAGGATGCAGAGCTCTCTGCTAAGCCACCTCTAACTCTCCCTGAGAATCCTGCTAAAAACTGGTTTTCTCGGGACCAGCAGTTAGCGTAATGGTTATGTCACTGGACTCTTACATAGTCGACCGCGGTTCGTGTCCCGGACCTGGTGGCTTAAAACTCACACTGGGTGCATGTGCGTGCGTGCCCAAGATCCCGAGAGGAGAACGGAGGAGAAGGGATTGCAGTATGGTCATCCCCCCTGGGAGGTGATTTCTCGCTTTCTATCTGTCTCTCTCTGTCTGTCTGGTGAGCGCACACACCCTATAGCAAAAACATCTCCAAAAAACACCCCCAAAAACCAAAAAACCAAAAAACTGGTTTTCTCAGGACCAGCAGACAGTGTAATGGTTATGTCACTGGACTCCCACATAGTTGACTATGGTTTTAGTCCCAGATCAGATGGCTTAAACTCACACTGAGTGCATGTGCATGCGTGCCCAAGATCCTGAGAGGTGAATGGAGGAGAAGGGATTGCAATGTGGCCATCTCCCCTGGGGGATGATTTCTTGCTTTCTGTCTCTCTGGCTAGCATACATGCCCTATAACAAAAATCTCTTTTAAAAAAAGGACTGGTTTTCTCCATGACTCTGAGCATAGATTATGTTACCGCATCTCTAATAAAGGGACACCCCTTATTTAGAGAAATAAACTGAATAAGTGCCCAGTTCTTTGACTCAGGCATGGGTAAACCCTGCCATTATCATCATAATCATGCTTCTTCCTAAAGCTGCCATGGGTTGTCTCCATCGCTGAGAGTCCTCTTGGCACAGGCCCATGAGAAGCCATTAAACAGTCCCTGTAGGTTCCTCTTCCACATCCTGCCTCTGTGCAGCAGTCACTATATCCTGCTCTGTCTCAGGACAAGGCACACATCATCTGAAGGCTGCTCTCTTCCTTTGGACCATAACACATGTTGGTTGGCCTGAGTCACTTACTATCAGAGTTTAGGTGACCTATTCCAGAGTACCACTTTTGCTTACCTTCCGACCTCACGGATTTGGGCAGCTACTCCATTTCTTACCCATAAAGGGTTTATTTGATCATGACTTGAGTTTCCAAGACTATTTCTAGTCTGTTTAGAATTCTATGTGCTAGAAGATGTTGTGGAAGTTAAGGTGACTGGATCCCACATGGCTGATTATACAGTTTGAGTCCTGGAACCTGTGGCTTGAAAATCATGCCAGTTGTGGGTGTGTACATGCCAAAATCCCAAAGTGAAAATAGAAAAGGGGTTGCAGCCAGACCATTTCTCCTGGGGGGTGATTTTTCACTTTCCCTCTCTCTCAGTCTTTCTCTTGCAAGCACACACACTCTATAGCAAAAATAAAACAAAACAAAAATTCCAGTCCCTGCCATAACCTTTAGCTCAGCTGTATCCTGCTCTCTCATGGACACTTCTGGCCTGGCCTGTCTTGTCACGGTCTACCGGTAGGTGCAGACCCAGTGTAGGTAGGATGAAAGTACATGTAGACTCTGTTCGAGCTTCTGTCCTTCTCAGGCCAGATTCTTCCCCGGATTTTCCTTGGGTTGACAACATGTCCTTATGTTCCTTATGTCTTGAATGTTCCTCCCTTTTCTACATTATGAGCTGCCTCTCATCTGATCATAGGATCACATAATGCAGAACAACTTTTATTTTGTCCATCCTTTCTGGCAGATCCTACCTGCCGAGTTCAACATTGCATCTAACAGGAGCGCAGGCATATTGTAGATAGTGCAGATTTATTTAATCAATTTATTAATTCTGAGACAAGGCCAGCTTGGAGGTCTCCCAATGGGCTATAAAGACCTCTGGTCCCTGCAGGATGAAAAGAATTTTCCTTTACTCTCTTAGTCCTTCCTTCAATCTCATTAGCAGTCTTGGTTGAGGAAAAGTGACACCGTGAAAGGGTGTCCATTGCTATAAGATATGTTTTCAGCTGGCTCTCCTCTCTCTGGGGTTAAAGGTCACACTTCCTTCTGGCTCTGGTGGGATAGTCATGATTATAGAGTTCTGCTAGAGGAAAGAAAATCCTTCAAGAACTTTCAGTAGAAGTAGTTTTCAAAATACTGTTCCCTTTCTTTTGCAGGCTATCAAACTACACCAAGTCACCTTGACTTCAGACATGGGCCCATGTGACAAGAGGACAGGTTGGTGGAATAAACAACACTTGAAAGGCATATCCCCAAGAATATAAAGTGAAAATTTTATTTCTCTGTCATGTATTAAGTACACACACACACACACACACACACACAAAACAATGTAACTGCTAATTCAAAATTACTGCAGAACAAGTGAGAAAGTATGTGAATAATTTTTACCCAAAACAGCTATTTGCTTGATGGAACAAATTTCCAGCAAATAGTACATGACTAAAACAACAGGGGTCTTTATTAGAAAAAGAGAAATTTATAAGACATAGTATAAAAGGGGATTTTATTTTCTTACTTTCCATTTGTTGCTCTAGTCCATTATTCTTAAATTTTTATTTTCGAATTAGCATTGTTCTATTATCAACAGCATATCAATATTCAATGGGAAATGAAGTTTATTAGTGTGCAGAAATCAGTAATAAGGTAGGATAGTCACCAAATCTATGATTTTTCTATTTCATTTTCAAAAAGACCATTGATTCAGTTAGCGAGAGGGAAGTGCCAGTATATGAAATCACTGCCCTCCTAGTGCTGTTCTGTTTTTGTATGTTGAATGCCAATTGTCATATTCATTTTCTTATTGCCTTAAGGGCAGGTCATTCACATTCTTGTTTTCCTAACCTGGCAATAAATCTTTTCTACTCTTTTCCACATGCTAAAACATTTACACAACCCTTAAATCAAATAATTTATTCTAAAGGTTCTACGTTGAACACCACCAAAATCCATCCATCTATTTGTCCTCTCTGTCGCTTACTTCTCTCTCCCCCATTTACTGAGCACTTACTACGTCCCAACTTTTGCATCTCTACCCTAAGTGGTTTGCAATCTAATGGGGGCGAGGGCGGTCATATGGATAAGTAGAGTCAACAAAGATTATATTACATAAATTTTTCATGAGCTAGTGAGGGCACAAAGGAGGAGGTGGTCAATTTCACCTGAAGAAGTTAAGAAAGGCTTGAATAAAGGAATTAAAGTTTGAGTTGAATCTTACAAGTTTAACAGATGCTTACTTTGCTAGAAAAATAGGGTCAGGAACACTCAAAGTGGAGAAACTGGCATGTACAGAGGCACAGTGTTTCAAAACAACATGATATATATGAAAACAGTGAGTCAGTCAGACTCCTAGAGCAGTGAGTGGGGGCAGACAAAAAAGAATAGACAGAGGCCACCATGGAGGGCCTTATGGTCTGGACCCCAATGGTCTTGGGGATCACACTTTCCACAGTCCTAAAGGCTTCCATTTAATTGCTATTCTTCTTACCATTTCTTCTTAGGAAATCCTTAATCTGGAATATTCAGGGGTGTCTAGAGAGTGTGATGGTTTAAACATGCAAAAAATTATATTAAGAATAAAATAAATACAGAACTCTTCTATATTCATCCACTTTGAGTGAAATGAAGGGTCTTCTTGTTCCTCATGATTCAGCAGTATCCAGTGTATATGGGCACCAAATGCATAGCTTGAAAAAATGAACTGAGTGCTATAGAGATGTACAATGATTGAATGGAAATAAGTCATTAAATAAATAAATACATAAATACAGAGATTTCCAGTGTATGATCAACCTTCCTGCCACTACATTTTGCCTTCTGAAGATAGATGCTCCCTTATTACATGCAATTCTTTGTTTATTGGATTTTAATGTATATTTCTAAGAATAGGCTGTGTATAAGAGTAGGGGAATGTCTATATTGGGCAAGACAAGGGCCATCATCTCATTTTATTAATTTGTAAAACTTTAGAACTATAAAATGTAGCACTGCCATTTTCAATTTTAAAAATTCAATAAACATAAAAACAAGAAGCAGACAAGAGAGCAAACATATGAAACCCAAAAATATAAGAAAAGGTTATCATTTCCTCTTATTTTCCAACAAAGTTATGAATAATAGTCAATCACTGTTAAAATAAAATTGCAACAATGCCTATGTGGGAAGACACATAGTGTAAACATTTTTGGTGATTCATTTCAAAAATAATCAAGATCTTTTTAGACTTAACTATCGGAAGGGTGGTATTTATTCTAAGAAAGAGAATTAAAGAAATAGTCAAATCAGTAGTTTGAAAAACTTCAGAAAGAACAGACAAATGTTCAGACAGATAGTGTGTGAAGCTGCAAATGATGCATAGTTTTGGTGTCAAATTCAGCTGATGGGTTTTCAAGCTCATTTTTGCCACCTTTTGTATGTCTTCCATCACAAGACTAATTTTCTCCCATACAAATTTTAATGTTCTGAAATTGGCATGTGTCTTATAACTAATATAGTGATTTATATTGTGTAAAGTTTCCATTATTTCTGAAAAGCTATAATTACAATAATGACATATCCCCCAGTTGAGTATTTCTTTGAGTTGAGACTAGCAGTGCTGGCTTTGTGATCAAGTCTGTGTTAGTCATTTAGACAACCCAAGTCTTTGTATTTACAGTGAGAATTATAAAGTTTTATATTTGGGCACAAATAAAATAAAGCTTCTGTGCAGGTGGTACTGGAAAGTGCAAGTAACCAGGGTAGACCAAGTCCTCAAAGTTCATAGACATTTGTTACTGGGAGGGAAGACTGTCTTGGGCTAGTCACTCTATTGACAAGACTTACTCTATTATTTTACAGTGGGAATTATAAAGTTTTGTATTTGGGCACAAATAAAATGGTTTCTCTAAAGCTTCTGTGCAGGTGGTACTGGAAAGTGCAAGTAACCAGGGTAGACCAAGTCCTCAAAGTTCATAGACATTTGTTACTGGGAGGGAAGACTGTCTTGGGCTAGTCACTCTATTGACAAGACTTACTCTATTATTACCTGTATGTAGGCCTCCTGTTGTGGTCAGGAACCCAGAGATTAGTAAATATCTGATATCTAGCTTAACCTTTACCTAGAACTCAAAGCTTGTCTAGAGTTTTGTGTTCATAGTCAGGCCATTTACAAAGTTGTTTTACATACACCTTCTATTTTGATTCTTACAGCAACTCTATGAGGTAAGTAGAAGCAATGTTATCCACTTCATTTTAGAGATGACAAAACCAAAGATCCTAAGAGGCTGATGAATGGCCTAGTGTCACATGCTGGCTAATGACAGCATGGGCTTACCCATCCAGATGTATCAGATTCCAAATCAGGGCTGCTTCAAGGATTTAATTCTGCAGAATTGCATGTTGTCATGTTTGTTTCCAGGACAAACCTGAGGACTATAATGCTAATTTTCTTTCAGACAGATGAATACATGAAGAGAGAGCAAGACATCCTGATAAACTACTTTTAGGCATTATAAAGAGGTAGACACCTAAATGGGCAGTCTCATTCTCTTGCCAGGGAGAAAAACTTCACAACAGTTGTATCAGGCTTCAAGGAGAAGAGTGGTTTTAGAGACATAAGCCAGCAAAACAGATGCAATGCAGACAATAATACAGTGGTACCTCAGGTATGATATCTCTGTGTTCGGATGTGGCTACAACATGCTCTGTTGCTCTATGAGAATTAAAGTATCTCTGGATCTGCAGTGGAGGTTAGTGAGATAATACAGAAGATTCAAGGTAAAAATAGACTTCTCCTGAGAAAGTGTAAGAGGTCTTCGAAAGGTTCAGAGAAAATGCATATTATGAAAAAATTATGTATAGATTTCAATATTTTTTTGCCCTAAAATAAACTTGTACTTTAATTCCATTTTCCCACAAACTTGTTGAAGTCCTCTCATATCTGTGAAAAGACAATCAACTTGGCAGAATCTAAACCCTCCGTTTTGTTTTGTTTTGTTTTGTTGTTTTGTTTTTCCTGGCTTAGGTATAGCTTAAAGCCAGGATTTATTTATTTTTTATTGTTTCATGAATACATCGCACATTGATTCAGTCAAAGATATTAGCATACACATTATGATCGACAGATAATTTTTCATTTTTGTATCCCTTAAATATTTAAAGGCAAAACTAGGGATCTACTTTACTATTCCTGGTTCTGGAAGTTTTCCTCCAAATGAGCTAAAAGGCCTAACAAAATCAGGGAAACTGAGAAAGGATTTCGAATCTTTACTAGTGCATAATTTGACTTCAGAAAGCCATAGAAACTGATTAGTGATAGGGCAATCAAAAAAGTCTCAATCACCAAGATTTAAGATAAACTCTAAATTATCATGCCTGAGGAAGGCAGATGTCCTGTGTATAATACTCATGATAGTAACAGAAAACAAAGCAAAAGAAAAAACCAAAGCAGTTGACTCTCAGTAGTTAGTGTCTTTTACATAGGTGGCTCTAGTATCCTGAGAGAAGAGATATTTTCTTTACTGATAAGAATGGAGTGTTTTTAGTTGCCAGAGAGCACATGTGCTCATCCCAGAAAGGAGAGGTCCTGAGGGTGCGGTCATGCTGGAAATTCCTTTCTCCATTTCCTGTCAGGATTTTGGTCACAAACACACATATGCTCAGTGTGTTTTGTAAGCTGCTGTAGCCAGCCACATATAGTCTGGCTCCCTTAACCAGTGTGCTATAAGGCTGCCAGAGAATTTGATTTTAGAGGTAGCAGTTACTTCATTCTATATTACCTGATGATACGTCATGAGCAACTTCTGCAGAATCACTTGGAGTGCTACAACAGTTAATATGTTTGCAGTCCTCCAGGCCTCGAGAGAGGAAGACAAGCAAGGCAGGCTCCTGACAAGCACGGCTTTCCTTAGGAGGCCTGACCTCAGGAAAGACATCCTTGATCTCTCTGTCAGGGTTTCATAGCAGCTAGAAGTTCCTCAGGCTGGAAGTGACCTTGTCAAAGTAAGAGCTATTTCACGCCTCTGTCCATTCGATAAACCATGTAATTCCCTAGGAAATAATTATTCCCAGTGAAAGAAAAGTGAAACTTTAAGACTGGGACAACATTTAACAAGGTCAAGGATATAAAATGTTTCTGGAGTGTATTCTGGATATAGAAGAGAATTTGTAACCAAGCATTTAGACCTTGATGGACTGTGAGTTTGTTATTTAGAAGAGAAAGAAAGAAGAACCAGCATTCCTGGAAAAACAAAAAAAGGGTTAGAAATAGAGAAATGGGACCAGCCTTGCTAGTGGTGTAGTGGTTAAGGTGGCTGTATTCAATAAGGCTAACTGTGCAGTTTGAGTCCTAGATCCAGAGGGTCAAGGAACATATCAGGAGCATGTGTGTGTGTGTGCCCAATATCCCAAGAGAAGAAATTGCAGCATGGCTATACCCCCTGGAAGTGATTTCTTACTTTTCTTCTCTCCGTCTGTCAGTCTTTGGGGAGTGCACATGCTCTATAGTCAAAACAAAACAAAAGCAAGGAACAGAGGAAGGGCTATTGGCAGGTGTCAAAAAAATGTGTGGTCACTTTTTCAAGGAGCTCCACTTCCTCACTAATCCCAAAGATCAGAATCTTACTTTGGAAAGGGTCCTAAAGCAGATAAATAGCATCCCATGTTACTGTTGACATGTAAGTCTGCCAGGAAAACCAGAGATGTCCTGTGAAGACACCACGCAATATGTTTGGGGATATGAGTTCTCCACTAGATGAAGGAACTAGTGTCTAGAAGGGATACTAGTATCTCCAAACTTCCTGGGCAGCTCTCTTTCGCCTCGTCTTCTATCTCAGCTATCTCTTCAGAGAGGAGCATCCTAGAGTACCTCACAGTCAGCCCTAACCTTTTCCTAGAGCTCAAAGTTTGTCCAGGACTTTAATGGAATAGATTTTGTTCTGTTTTTACCATTCACAAAGTTGTTTTACACATATTTTCTATTTTAACTCCTTCAACTACTCTACAAGATAAGTAGAGGCAGTATTATCCACTTCAATTCAGAGATGAGAAAACTAAGGATTTTAAAGGGCTAGATTAGTGTCCTGGGGTTCAGTGTGACTTACAAAGAAAAGATAAATACACAGTTCACATTTCAACTCTTCTTACCTGCTCACTGGCCCTCAAACCTGCCTCCCTGTCCCCCCGTCCCACCTTCTTCCCAAACTGACCAGTGTCTCATAGCTGGAGTATCCACCAAGGGCTGCCTCAGCCCCAGCACAGGGCAGAGGGCATATTGGGCCTGATTAGCCCCTCAAAGCACCAGGACCAACTAATCTTAACCCTGACATGGCCTTTTCACAAGGGACTATGCAGATGGTACAGCAAAGGGAGTAACCACAGGCAGATTAGTAAAGATGGTAAAAAAAAATCACTTCAAAAAATTAATACAGAGAATACATATTTAAAGCCCCATTTATTCTTTATGCCTCAGCTTTCTTTTCATTTTGGGTCTAGCAGATTAAAAGGCTTATTTTCTTTGTGAACAGCTGCTGAGCCATGATTTAATTATACATGCGATAATGTATAATTATTCATCATAATGCTAAATCTAAGTAATTTAGAAATGGTGTTGCATGCCAGGCTAGCAATTAATTATGCAAATTTAACTTCTTCTGGCTTATCTTGACACAGTAAAAACATGTGGATTAATAAAAACTGTACTTCTAAGATTTTGTGTAATGTAAAGTAGGCCTTTGGTAACTAACGCCTACGATTTACTCATCCATTATTTTATAAAAAGAAAAGAGACAGAAGGGGGCAGGAAAGTAGAAAGGAGGACAGAAACCAATTTTAGCAAAGGCTTATATATGAATCTTCCTCCCCACCAAGATTCTGCCAAGACTGATACATTCATCACCTTGCTCCAGTTTCCCACTTTCCAGCCAGCACAGGGACGGAGGTGGCACCTCTTCGCAGGGTCAGGCCTCTGAATGGTGGCACAGTCGGTGTCCTGCTGGGTGCTGCACTGCACGGTCCTCCAGTAGGCCCCCAGCCCACACGTGGTGGAGCACTGTTGGAGACAAGAGAGAAGACCAAGGCTGAGGCCACATCCTTAGATACACCCTATCCCTGCGACTCTCAGTCTCTGTTGCCCACTAAAATTGCCCTACAGAACTTTCAAAAAAAATCTGATGCTGCTCCCCTCTTTCCCCCAACATTAATATCAATCCAGATCTCTAGGGGCTGGGCCTAGAGATCAGTATTAAAAGAAAGAAATTCCAGGAACCAGCAGTTAGCGTAATGGCTATGTCGCTGGACTCCCACGTAGTCAACCGTGGTTCGCGTCCTGGACCTGGTGGCTTAAAAATCACACCGAGCGCGTGTGTGTGCGTGCCCAAGATCCCGAGAGGAGAATGGAGGAGAAGGGATTGCGACATGACCATACCCCCGGGGGGTGATTTCTCGCCTTCTGTCTCTCTGTCTCTCTCTGTCTGGTGAGCACATGTGCCCTATAGCGAAAACCTCTTCAAAAAAAGAAAGAAAGAAAGAAAGAAATTCCTACCTGATTCTAATAAACAGCCATGGTTGCAAAATCCCTGATTTATAGCTAGGAGGAAAATCTAATGCAAATGGAAATTTATTTCTCTTTAGATGTTATCTTGGCATGGGGCCAGCCAGTGCTGCAGCACTAATGTGAAGCTCTGTGATGCTGGATTCAGAAGGAAGGGCCTAGAGTCACATCCTCAGGCTTCCCTGTGTACACTAGGCACATGTGTGTCCATGATCCAGGTTGGCTAAGGCTTGGTGTGGATTGTGGCATGATTTGGGGGGTGTCTCTCTCTCTTCTTGGCTCAAGAAATAAACCTTAAAAATGATCTCATCCTGGAATAAATGCCTAATGTGCTGCAGGCAAAATGCTGCATTCCATACCAAGACTGCTTAGGGAAGATGTCAGGTCCATCTGCTTCTGACTTCATATCCGTCTAACAGTGCATTGACATCATCTCACTTCCTCTTCTCAGTGACAAACCTGTGATGTAGCCTGGTATTGTTATAGCGTTGATAAAGAAACTGAGCCTTTGGGAACCAGCAGTTAGCGTAATGGCTATGTTGCTGGACTCCCACGCAGTCGACCGCGGTTCGTGTCCCGGACCCGGTGGCTTAAAACTCACGCCGGGCACGTGTGCGTGCGTGCCCAAGATCCCGAGAGGAGAATGGAGGAGAAGGGATTGCGGCGTGACCATCCCCCCTGGGGGGTGATTTCTCGCTTTCTGTCTCTATGTCTCTCTCTGTCTGTCTGGCGAGCGCACGCGCCCTACAGTGAAAATCTCTCCAAAAAAAAAAAAAAAAAAGGAACTGAGCCTTTGAGAGTTAACTGCTCAAGGAATAAGACTGGCGTTTATAACTGGGGTTCATTACATCTGTTATAAACATGTGTTGCAGGATTATAGGAGTGCTTACTCAAACCATAGCATCCATGTGAGTCACTGGAGAACCTTGCTAAATGCAGTTCTGATTCAGTAGGTCCAGGGTGAGGGGGAGATTCTGCATTTTTTCACAAGCTCTCAGTTGATGCTGATGCTTTGGTCCTCAGAGCTACTTAGAATCAGGAAGACGTTACAACATGATGCTACTCATCATTTGATCCACTGGTAGTAAATAAATCAGCACAGCCCATTTCTCTCAAAGTGTTTTCTTCTATTTATCATTCCTAAATATCTCAGTAGTTTAGCATGGGGTCACCTCGAAAACTCTGCAAACTTCCTCCCAATAATTTCTTCTATTTTATATGCCTAATTCTTTCATGTAATTTATTTTTGTTGAATCCTGTCTTTTTTGCCTACTCTTAAAAGAAGAGGCTGTTTCTGGACATAGGAAACACAATTCTGAGCCAATGAAAACAAAAGGAATGTAACTCCTATCTATGAAATTCTTAAAAGTGTCTTTTGATGAGCTGTAGATAAAGACAAGCCTTGTATTTCTCTTGCAGCATTTTCACCTTTCATATAATTTTGTGTTTCATTTTTGTGCAAGTTCTTGTGTTATAAAATATAAATAAAGCACAATAGAGTTGTTAGGTAGATATATTATAAAATTACAGAAAGGGAAGAGCAGAAAATAGGCTACATCATCATGTTTTCCAAATGGCTCATTTGTAGAGATAATCTTCCCTTCTCCTTAACATTCTTTAAGATTCGATTAATATCTCTCATAAGTTTCCAGCACTATCTCCTTTGTACCGTATTATTTATCTATGTAATAGAGATAACAGCAGCTGAAGTGCATTGGCCACTGTGGCAGATTGATTATATTAATGGTTTTAACACTTCCTTGTACTTAGGCTCTTTGCAAAGGAACTTTTTGGCTTCTCTCAAAAACTGGAATCTATTTCCCTAGATCTTGAATTAGGGCTCTTCTTATGATGCACTTTGGCCAAAAGAATGGAGTGGATAATGTGGCAGTTCTCAAGAGATCTTGCTTTCGGGACCAGTAGTTAGCATAATGGCTATGTCGCTGGACTCCCATGTAGTCGACTGTGGTTCACGTCCCGGACCAGGTGGCTTAAGATCACGCTGGGGCGCGTGTGCGTGCCCAAGATCCCAAGAGGAGAATGGAGGAGAAGGGACTGTGGCCTGGCCATCCCCCCTAGGGGGGTGATTTCTCGCTTTCTGTCTCTCTGTCTCTCTCTGTCTTTCTGGCGAGCGCATGCACCCTATAGTGAAAAACCTCTCCAAAAAAAAAAAAAAAAGTAAAAGAAAAAGAAAGAGATCTTGCTTTCCATTCTGGTTCTTGGACCCCTGCCTTTGCCATGAGAATAAACCTGGACAAGGCTGCTGAAGGAGAGACCTTACATGAAACAGCTGGTAACCCAGTCAGCCCTTAGCTGACCCTCCAGCAGATGTTCAAAAAATCTGTGGAAATGGAATTAAATTACAAGTTTATTTTGGCGCAAAAAGTTTTAGAAATCCATGCATAGTGTTTTCATAATATGCATTTTCCATGACCTTTTTGAAGATCTCTTGCATTTGCTAGCCCAAGCTAAGATTAGCAGAACGTCTCATTAACTCACAGACTCATTAACAAAAAAATTTTTTACTGAGTTTTGGGTGTTGTATTGTGGCAGTAGACAACCGATAGAACCACATAAGAGCCATACCCCTGAATAGTGCCTAACTCCTAAATTTTATGTTTTGTAAATTTTATATTTATATATATCAAACACTGACTACTTTCTACATGCCTGGCCTCTTCTGAGAACCTTCATATGGTTATTTTATATTATTACAATCCTATGAGTTGGGTAGAGTCATCGTCCTCATGTTGCCGATGAGGAAACTGAGATAGAGTCAGGTTGTACAGTTAGGAAGTGACTGAGCCAGGACTCAAACTCAGAAAGCCTGGTTTCAAGCCTTATGCTTATTTATAGAATTTACTTAGTTTTTCCATGGATTACTTAATTTTTGAAACCACAATTAGTGAAAGGAGTGTGCTATGTCAAGTGAGGACCATGAACAGCCTTTTGACACAAGAAAGCAGGTGGGAAGACATCGTTAGAGTTTTCAGACCAAACCCTAAGGAACTTTACAAATTACTTCCTACATTAAAGATCAGAGAAAGCTGAGTGAGAGAGAACTCAAAGCTTGATTCTGAACAACAGGTGGGGCTTAAAAGGATAGAGAAGGAGGAGGAAATTCCAAGCAGAGGAGACAAAAGTATTGGACTAGGAGAGATAGAAGGCTTAAAAGAAACTGAGCAATTTAGATTTGTTGAAACTGAAGATAGATGGAGAAGAATAAGAAGCAGTGAAGTTTGAGGGTACAAATTATATATATCTATAAAGACCTCATTACTATATAGGGTTATCTGATATGGTATTTAAAGAGGAGATACCGGGGACTTCTGAGCAGGAATTTGGAATCATTAAAACAGTTTTATTAGAAAACTAACTTGGCAATCTTGGGACCAGCAGCAGGTGGACTGGTGGTTAAGGTGCTGGACACACCTACATGGCCAACTATGGTTTTAGTCCTGGACCTGGTGGCTTGCTTTCTCTCTCTCTCTCTCTCTCTCTCTGTGTGTGTGTGTGTGTGTGTGTGTGTGTGTGTGTGTGTGTGTGTGTGTCTGGTCAAATAAAAAAGTGAATGAATAAATAAAAGTTAAAAAAAGAAAACTATTTGGCAGTCTTATATCTCTGGAAGTATGTGTAAAAGATTGGAGAAGAGAGAGAATGGAAGTGTACAGATCAGCAAGGAGGCAAAGGCAGGTGTCCTCGGCAAGAGTAGTAACTGAGGGTCCTTCTTTCTCAACTACTGGGGCACCATTGGCATTTGTACTAGACGATTTTTCCTTATAAGGGACTTCCCTGAATATCACAGGACTTTTGTCATCCTCGGCTCTCAGACACAGAATGACAGCTACAGCCTCCTTCCCCATCATTGTAACAAACAACAGCACCCTAACTCATTTCCAAATTACTCCTACTATCAGATTGGAGACCACTGAGCCTTAAACTAACAGGAAACAAAAGAGAGGTGACAGAAATGATGGGGTGACATTGACTTGACAAATGTAGAGTTATTGTCCTCAATAGGACAAAGGCACATTGATATCAATGGTGATTCTGGAATCTGTAAGATCTGGTGATTAGGAAGGGAGTGACCCATTACAGGAAGGGATACTCCAAAGAAACAGCTTCAGAAATGGGTCAGGAATTTAAAAAAAGGACAGTAGAAACTCAAAATTTTGAGTTTCCATTCTGAGTCTTGACCCTCTCTGACAATTCTGTGTATTGAACATTTTATCTCAAAATATTCATGAAGGAAGCAGGCACCAATCCTGTCATGTAGGGAACTCCTGCAAAACATATAACTTTATTTTCATAATATCCTTGTAGCTCTGAAAAACTGCAATCTGGACCAATTCCATGTTTCCAGCCTAACTGCCTGAAATTTGCAGCTGTTAATAGCTCTGTCACTGTAGTAAAATTTAGTGAGCTATGATATATTCAATCAGATGATTTATTTCTAAGTCCATGGGGATTTTTGAAACAATTCTTTGTATCTTTATTTA